AGAAAGAAAGAAAGAAAGAAAGAAAGAAAGAAAGAAAGAAAGAAAGAAAGAAAGAAAGAAAGAAAGAAAGAAAGAAAGAAAGAAAGAAAGAAAGAAAGAAAGAGAGGAAGGTGATAAAGAGGGAATGAAGGGAGTGAGGAGGAAGGAAGGAAGAAGGAAAGAATAAAAAGAGGAGGGAAGGAAGAAGGGAGGGAGGAATGGAGGGAGGGACAAAGGAAGTAAGTAGAAAGAAATGAAAGGAGGGAGGGAGAGGAAGGACAGACGGAAGGAAGGATATAGGAAGGAAGGAAAGAAGGGAGGAAAGAAATAGCAAGGAGATAGCAAGGAAAGGAATAAAAAGGAAGAAGGGAGGGAGGAAAAGAAGAAAAAAGAGATGGAGGGAGGAAGGAAGGAAGGAAGGAAAGATGGGAGGGAGGGAGGAGGGAATAAAGAAATAGGAAGGAGAGGAAGAAAAATGGAAGAAGGAAGGGAGGGAGGAAGAAAAGAAGAAAAATGAGATGAAGGGAGAAAGGGAGGAAGATATTTCATGGACAAAACCGGAAGCAGGAATTCTGAGTGTGAATCAACTGAGATTAGGCGAATGGGGTGAGGTTTTTACACCTGGGCTCACCTGTGCAGTTCCTCTCCTCAGCATCCAGAGCGAAGCCGCTGCCACAGAGACACCGGAAGCTCCCGATGGTGTTGCGACAAGTGCCATGGGTGCAAAGACCAGAGAACATCTTGCACTCATTCACATCTGGGGAAAGGCAGAAAGACAATGGTTCAGTATCAGTATCGCTCTTTATGAGGGCCTCAACGATCCTCAGAGAGAGCACAAATGACCAGAGGATTGCAAGGAATATAAATCCTTCTGTTCTCCGCCATTCAGTCAGAATGGAAGAAGCTTCTTGGATGAGAAGTGAAACATCTTCGAAGAAACAAAGAAAATCCAGCTGCCTCTTGACTGAGAATCTCCAGAGATGCTCAGACTACCACCATCAGCCGGTTTGGACCGGTTTGTATATACCGGTTGCGGAAATTTTGAATAGTTCAGAGAACTGGCAAATACCACCTCTGGGTGGCCCCACCCACCTGCCTCCGCCGTTGCCTCTCCTATATTCCCTTGCTTTTTAAGCTCAGCTGATTCCCGCACCTCAGCTGAGCTAAAAAAACAGCACAGCTCACCAGTTGTGATGACCCAAAGGGGCGTGGCACAAAGGCAACCCAGTCAAATAAGCAAGAAGAGTCCCTTTATTATCTCCAACTTTGCCCCCAATGTCCAGGTTACCTTTGGCTGGAGAAAACCTCTCCCAGGAACAGCCTTTGACTGCAGAAAATTCAGTCCAAAACATGGTCAACACAAACTGTAACTTAAAGTCCAAACAAGCCAAACTGAAGTAATTAACTTGACAGGGCAGGAGAAGGAATTTCAGACTTGAAAGCATGGCAAAACTCACACAGTTGGGAAACCAGGAACACAGATAAGCCACGACGATACAGGATAAATTCACGATTTGCTCCCAACAACTTGCTGTGCGCAACTTCCCTTTTTAAACACTGTGTTCCCAGTTGCAGCTAATGAAGGGAATCAGGGCCCTTTCTTCCCCCATAATCCATGCAGCTCCCATTGGTCCCTTCTCCGTTCCTCCCTGCATGCCCTTGGATGAAGAGGGGGTGGGCCTGGGTCTTCCTCTGAACTCCCTCACCCTTGTTCTACCTCTTCCCTGCTCTGCCCAGCCACACTTTGCTCTTCCCCAGTTTCTTCCACAGCCAACGGAGCCACTCCCACTCCCTGTCAACTATTCGGCTTCCCCCTCTGAGTCAGAATTCCAACGGGGGCATGACACTAGTGTTGATACAGAAGGCGGTCTTTGAGCCCTGTGCATGCAAGCGTGAAGTGCGCTCTCAGAACCGGTAAAAAAACATTGGAAACCCACCACCGCACGATACATTCAATCAAACATTTGGTGCAAATTATTCAATTTCTCGGCCAATAGCCCAGCACTGTCAACATACAAACTTGCTTCTCCAACCCACACATTTCTAATGCCCCCCCAGCAGTGGGTTTAAGGGGGATCCCCAATCTTTGCCTTACTCCCCACTTCAGGCTGCCCATTGATTCTCAGCTCTCCTTAACTTCCATCTTTTCCCCCCATGGATGGATTTTTTGCAATCGCAAAAATTCGGCACCCTCTCCTCGCACCTTTGTAAAAAGGCCTGCCGGATAAGACGTCTCCCCTGTTAGCAAAGCCGGGTCCCCGTGGACAGATGGCTTTGAATTCAGCCGAGCCAGGCTTGGGGCATTCCTCGCAGTCCTTGCCCCAGGCCGCCCCGACGGAGCAACAGCAAAGGTCAATACGGTATTTCCCTGGCAGCGCCACGGTGCACTCATCCTCGGCCCACTTCATGTAACACTGTTCCAGCCGCACGTCTGGATGGGGAAGAAACGAGAATGAATGGAGAAGTTGGAAAGCTGGGGTGAGGATTGCCCTTAGTGAAAAAGAGAGTGGGGATTTTCTTTCTTTCTCTTTCTCTCCCTCCTTTCCTTCTCTCTCCCCTTCCCTTTCTCTTCCTTTTCCTTCCACGCATTCCCCTTCCTCCTCTCCTCTCCTTCCCCTTCCTCCTCTCCTCTTCCCACTTCTTCCCTTCTCCTTCTCCTTCCTCCTCTGCTTCCCCTCCCCCTTCCTCCTCTCCCCTCTTTCCCCTTCCTCCTCTCCTTCCCCTTCCTCCTCTCCTCTCCCCTTCCCTTCCCTTCCTCTACCTTTTCCTTCCATGTATTCCCCTTCCACCTCTCCTCTCCTTCCCCTTCCTCCTCTCCTCTCCCCACTCCTTCCCTTCTCCTCTCCTTCTCCTTCCCCCTCTCCTTCCCCTTC